GGCTTTAGACGTCAGTGGCGGCAGGTTGTTGCAGATTCTGTACCCGTAGCCAAGATCAAATCGGAACATTTCCAGCATACATCATTTATAACTCGCCTTCCTGTGTATCAGCCTTTATGTACCCCTTGCTTGAGTATCTCCTTGTCCCTGTTAAGAGGAACAGCTACCTTGAATGCTTAATTTCCTATGTGGTGGTTTCACTGGGCTTCTCGTTATCTGAAGGGTATCGGCATGAAATGATGGATCGCATGGACTAAGTTGAATAATGATTCGGTGTTATTTAGCGGCCCAATTTAGGTAAAAGAGTTTTTGGCAGCCAGACAGAGTACTACATTTTGTGGGATGGATGCATTAACTGGAACCTATACGAGGTGGATGGGCCATGGCAACGTTGCCATCTGACCTGTTGTGTACAAGAAGGTACAGTGGTGCCTCGCTTAGCGATCGCTCCGTTTAACGACGAAATCGCTTAGCAATGCTGTTTTTGTGATCGTTTTGCGATGTTCCCTATGGGGTATTTTTGCTTTGCGATGATCGGTTCCCTGCGATCATCGTAAAGCAACCCTTTTCGCACAGCTGATCGGCGGTTTCAAAATGGCCACCGGGAAAAAACCATGGCCGCCCGCTGTTTTCTGGGACTGATTCCTCGCTTTAGAGGCAGCAAAAATGGCAGCGCTATGGAGGATCTTCGCTGAACTGTGAGTTTTAAGCCCATAGGAACGCATTAATCGTGTTTTAATGCGTTTCTATGGGCTTTTTATTTTCGCATTGCAACGTTTTCGTTCAGCAGTGATTTTGCTGGAACGAATTAATGTCGCAATGCGAGGCAGCACTGTATTGCTTTGGAGCTGCTTTTTGATCCAAAAGTGTGTCTCTGTTCCACAGGAACCGTAATTGAACCACAACTCCTTTGTCAAGGTCAGGCGGGGACTATGGGCAACTGCCTTTAAATCTAGGCTTGGAAGGAATTCTGGCCCTAGTTACCTTGCACTGGAATCTGGAGCCTAAGGTTGAGCGGGTAGAACCTTTACTATTCTGTTGACCGGGGTGAAGGAGGAAAGGATGGCTCAGTTTATCGAGCTCAATACTGATTGTTGGAACCGGCCACACCCCGGAATTCAGGCTACTGACTGGTGGCAGAGCTGCCAACGTACTTCATTTACCACTGAAGAGCAGGTGAGGCCTTGAGCCCATGCAGATCCCCGTTTCTGAAAAATAATAACATACCTGTAGCTCTTGACCTTTTGTTTCACACCCATCAGCCACTCTCTCAAAGAGGGTAGGGTCCCACCAGTGGAGAAACAAGAAGCCCACTTTTCCCTAGAGAGATGCTTGAATGTTTACATGCATTCTGTTGTTATATTTAGCATTGATGGTACATTGGTGTGCAGAAGGAGGGTGGGATTAGGAGAGATACTGAGGGTCCACAGTTACTACTGACATGGTTAATCTGTGTCATGTTAGAGCGGTACGACAACGGAACCAGTTCCCTTGGGAGGTGGTGAGTGTTCCCGGGCTGGGGGCATTCAAGAGAAAATTAGACAACCATCTGTCAGATCTGCTTTGACTGGGATTCCTGCATTGAGCAGGGGCTGTATAGGCGCCTTCCAGCTCCTTTGTTCTATGGTGCTACGTAGGGTTAGTAAGAGAGAATGCATTCCATTTGCAAGGAACATGGGGGTGGAGGGAGAGTTATTAGTAATTGTTTTCTAAGCCCTGTGTTGCACCTAAACCTCTTGTATGCCCCACCCGTGGTGTGCGTGCAATGAAGCACTGGTTTATGTCATTCCATTTCAAGCCATAATACCTTCAGGGAACTGGCACATGGAAATAAAAGAGACTTGAATAGCGGTTCCTCTGTCACTGCAGTAGTTGGATTACAGTGGGCTATCACCAGTTCCTTTCCCCTATAGGGAATGTGATATATTTTGAGATTACATTTACCATCAGCCACAAATCAAAGCAAAAGCAAAGTGTGATGCTTATATACTGCCCCATAGTGCTTCATGCACTCTCTGGGCGGTTTACAAGTTAATGATGGTGGGTACACATTCCCCCCCCCCCCGCGAGCTGGGTACTCATTTTATCGACCTCGGAAGGATAGAAGGCTGAGTCAACCTTGAGCCGGCTCCCTGGGACTGAACCCTGGGTCATGAGCACAGTTTTGGCTGCAGTACAGATGTTTAACCACTGCACCACGAGGCACAACAAGCATTGTTAGCAATCATGCTAATTCTACACCAGTTAGGCTGCGTCTAAAATCCCGCATCCATCTCTGGGTGCTTATTTTCTTCAGATAAGTGTTGACAAATTAGGCTGGATGAACTGCTGGTTAGCTCAGCGGTTTCAGTCTCTGAGTTTGATTCCTCTGTGTGCCTGCTTGGCAGAGATTAGGCTTGATCTATAGCTTCCCTTCCAATTCTGCAGTTCTATAATGATGATGATGATGCAGAGACAAGAAACCTGAGAGGTGAGAGAGATCTGGAAAGCAAGATATATGATAAATAGTGGAATGACCTGTGTCAGACTCCTTAGCAATAAGAACTTGCTCTGCTGTGGCAACGACAGTTTCAAGAGGTGACCCATTCTCTCCTGACAGAGCTGTTTTAAGCAGAGGCTGGCTAGCTGTTGGTTAGCCATCCTGCAGCTACAACCTGCATTTCAAAGACATCTTGCACCTGCAGGTTGGACTAACTCACCTTGCAAGGTCCCAACCAGGTTCTGCGATTTGGGCTTCGAAACATCTCGAAGTCACCATGTGGAGCGAAACGGCATTAATGTCCTCTACAACGGGCGTGGAAGATATCTCCCCAGGCTGTGCTACATGAATGACACAATACTCATCCATTTCTCCCCTTTTTACTAATTTAGAGGCTGTCAGCACATCAGAGGAATTACAGGCATTTCACTTCCTGGTTGGGTGGAAATCCATTGTATATGAATAATGTTATGAAGTGGTATTGCTATGAGGTGTTAATGTCTTCATTTTAATCAGTAATAAGTCATCTGTTGATGCTGTCAGAATCTACTTCAGTTTTAATTACATTATTCGACTCTGCGTGTTATCAAATTAAATTTCTGTTGCATTTAGTGGTCTCACAGCATATTAATGAACCAAAAACATGGGGGTTTTTTTGGCCTCTCCTGTGAATGGGATCTGTGATCTAAAGGTTTTGGAAATCTGCAGAGCTGCAACTGCGAATCTCCTGGATCTGGGATCTTGTCTGCGAGGCTAGAGTTCAGCAGCTTAGTAAAAATGTCTAAAGTCTTAGCGTTTGTTTTTAAATGAGTTTAGCCCACTGAGCATTGTAACAATCAAACAAATAATAAGACCATCCTCAGTGCACTGAGTTGTGTTTGCTAAAAATATAAAATATATATTTTATAAAAATATAAAATAAAATATGTTTTATAATGTATGGAACATAACCTTTATTGGCATAAAAAACGTACAGCAAACAGCAGTCCTCAGATAAATAGGGGATATATATTCCATATGAAACAGATCAGATAGCCTCCATGCAAACAGAATATAGCAGTGCATTTGTTTCAAGATAACATCTAGCCAGTGTCCATGATCTATAACTTATACAGAAAGGAATAATTAATTGCACCCAATAAGATTAGATGGGTGGGTTTGTTACAAATTGAGTTCTACAGTGCTGAATAAATAAACTAATAAATTCGGCTGCCTGTCTGGTGTAGGTTTTATTCACGCCTAACAGAAGAAAATATATTTTATAAAAATGCAAACTGTGACTGGCGTAATCAGCATCAGAAAATCTCTGCAGGTACAGAGTCTGGATTGGTGCTTCTCAAGACCTCTTTCCATCCTTCCAAATTCAGCTGTCAGTCTTCTGTAAATTATCCGAGTTCTTGGTTATTTGTAGTCCTTCCTCTACAAGTCTGAAAAGAAAACATACCTTTGGAGGTACGGCACATCTTCGTGTCACTCTACAGCTTGGAGTTCTGTTCTCTTTGTAAATTTAGGAATATTTTGTACCACTTTTTGTTTGGAAATGATATCAGACAGGAAGTCACAAGACTAAAAAAACACGAAAGGAGACCAAAACTGAATTGGTAAAATAATAAAACAATAATAAAGCAGTAAAGCGATAAAATATTTTCTTAAAATTGGCCCAGCTAATTGACAAGGCTAGCAATGTAAAAAATGCTCAGGGAAACGTAGGCAGACAGAGATGCACCTAACTCTGCGTGGATCCAACCTAGAATCTTCATTTTTGTGTACAGGTGTGTGTGTGTGTGTGTGGATTTTGTGGTATGTGTAGGTGGGATGTGTTCCATTCTCTGCAGAATCAATTTATTTCCACCGGCATTATCCTTTCAAAAGGCCAGTTATTGCTCATCATCCAGGTTTCAGAACCCAGTGATAAATGCTGCCTTGACATGAGCTGGCCAGCTTTGATTTTATGGATATGAAAGTATATAAATATAATGGTCTATGAAACCTTCAAAGTCATTTTGGAGCAGGGCTCTTTACTTCTCCTCCTTGACTGAGAGAAACCCTAATAAAAGACACAGTAGAGTATTTGCAGGATTAATATCTGTAACCTAATTGAATTTGGTTAATTTGTGTAAGCGGCTGCAGAATTTCGTTCAGCTGTAGGTAGGATATCAGGCTACGTCACTGTGTTGTTATTAAGAGTACAGATTTTGCTACTGATCAGCAAACTTCAGTGAACTTCAGTTTTCCTGGCACTGAGTTTCAGGGTGTTTAATGGCAGAAGGTATCCAGTTTAGATTTTGAACATTTTTTTGGGGAAACAGACATTTTTTTGGGGGGAGAACAAGGGGTCTGCATTGCAACCATACACACACAGTCAAAGACAAGACTTGGACCATATTAGCTGTGGCTTGTCTTTTGCCCCATAAAGATGCCCTGGGGCTGATGGGTCAGTGAGAAGCAGGGTGGTGGGCCTGTTGGTGAATCTGCATCGATTCGCTTCGTCTAACTCGACAAATTCCTTTTTTCTTTGCAGTACGGCGATTATGATCCCACGGTTCACAAGCGTGGTTTCTTGGCCCAAGAGGAATTGCTTCCAAAAAGGGTAAGAATCTCGCTCGCTCAGTGTCATACCCTCTGTGGAAGATCATCTGCCTGGTTTAGCTCCCAGCAGCTTCAGCTAGGGCTGGGGGAAACAGGGGCTGGGCTCTGTACAGAGTATAGAGCTAGATGGACTTGGTATAAAGCAATTTCCCATATTGCTTGTCTATGGGAATGACCTCTAAGTAAAAACAAAAAAATGCATTTCTTCAGCTCTACTAATATTATGACAATGTTCTGTCTTATTTTTGAATGTGACTCCTTCAGGGGAACAAACATGAGAGAGATCCATTTCTCTGATGGCATTTTTCCCCTTGCTCCTTTTGGGCTTAAAGAAGTCCATAATCTTGTGTGTTTAGGCAAATAATCTCTATTTAAAAAACCCCACAAAAAACAGTCAGAATGGGATGTCACACGTTCCTTTTTTCTGATGTGCAGATTGATACTAGTGTCTGTAAACACGCATAAATCCCTGTGTCTGTCTGCATTAAGGGAGGATTTCTGTCACATGCCATACGTTTGAGCTGATGGGTGGGCTTGAACATGTATACGAGTAATCTGGTGAGACAGGTCCAATTACTCATAGACATGTTTGAACTTGCTTATGCGTTCGATTGTAGGTTGCAGAGAAAATGTGACATGTCATAGAAATCCTTCCCCTAGTTAAGTGTATTGAGAAGGGAGGTTGCTATGGCTTAAAGGAACCTCAGAGCTGGGTTTCTTTTGGTCCTGGCGGAGTGGAAGCCGTAGGCTGAGTGGAACTCACTTTCTTTTACTGTGTCCTCCTCCTAGGTTATTAACCTCTACCAGATGACCCCTGAAATGTGGATAGGCTGAGTGCAACTCACTTTCTTTTACTGTGTCCTTGTAGGTTATCAACCTCTACCAGATGACCCCTGAAATGTGGGAAGAAAGAATAACAGCCTGGTATGGCCAGCATCGAGGCAGAGCGCGGTGAGTTTTCATGGAAAAGGTCACGTTGAAGACGTTTCACGCACTGCTCAATGGCTAGGTTTCCCATTGGCCTGATTCCTGTGTAGCTGCAGACTGGGTTTGTGGGCTGGGCAGTTATGTAGATGAGCTTCCCTTGTTCGTGAAGGAAAAAAGGCAGTTGCCTTAGATCTCATCATGGGGAGATAGTTCCAGTTTCGGTATTGTATACATGAAAGAGAAAGGGGGTCAGGTCAAGGATCCTGAACATTTCCCCCTGAGCCCTACAGAACTTTATAGAGCCCCAGGGAATGATCAGAAGCCTGTGTTCTTCACAGCTGGCCTTTATCCCAATTAAGGGTTGATTCCAAAATGAAACCAGACAGGTCTTATCCAATCCTATCAATAATCATCTGAGTGTCATGGTGTAAGACTTTTCATGGCTGCAATAATTCCAGGCAATGTCGACTTGTCTAATTCTACAAGCCGTATTTATCTACATGGCTTCCATGTTCCCTAAGCAGAAGATACTTTGAAATTTGAAAACCTCCAAAAGTCCACCTGCGGTCCCATTGCTTGGTAGGATTTTGCAAAGAAAGGTTTCATGCGGCTTTTACCTTTTCCAGGGATGAAGCTGAAATGGAGTATCTGAAGATAGCTCAGGACCTAGAGATGTATGGCGTTAACTACTTCGCCATTCGGGTAAGGTTGACACCTTGGCGTTGTGACTTTATGTATATCATATGAAGCATGGACGAAGAGCTGATTTGAAGGATGCTTGCGTGCAGACTAGAGGTGTGGAGATTTGCCTTCTTGGATTCCAGCTTTAAGTAGCTGGGAAATTCTGGAAGATGTAGTCTGAAAATATAGATCTGTTCCCCCTCTGGTGCAAACCCTTTTAAATAACCTTGGAATAACCTTTGAACGGCAGAGCTAGAGGGGGCCCCTATGGATCATCCAGTCCAGCCCCTCTCAAAGAGGTATAGTGGGAGATTGAACTCCCAACCTCTGGCTCCACGGCCAGAGAGCTCAACCGCTGCTCTGTTTGTCACAGACAACAGTTTTACTTGGAACTTTTCACTCCTGGCAGCTGTCCTGTTGCAGCTTTACCTGCAAGCCAGGGAGAGCTTTTGGGAGGTTTTCCTGGGGGAGATGAGTGAGTCATTGTCACTGCAGTTCGTTCTGCCATGGAAAACCCTGGACATGCTCCTTTTCGTTCCTCCCTCTCTCCTGACTGAGTCAGTGCAGCAGAGGCCGATGGATAGTTTCAGGAGGAATCCGTGTGTCTGTTCTGCTCCACAGATTCCGCTGGAAATCTTAATAGGTTCTTTCTGTTTTTGTTTCCTTTTGCCTAGAATAAGAAGGGAACAGAGCTTCTGCTTGGCGTCGATGCCTTAGGCCTCCACATCTATGATCCGGATAACAGGCTGACCCCCAAAATTTCTTTTCCGTGGAATGAGATTCGAAATGTCTCTTACAGTGATAAGGAGGTAGGTGTCCCTTGCCCTGTGCCTCTTACAAATCATGAATAAGCAGTGAGAAACTTCCTTCTCTTTCTTATCTCCTGTTTGGCTAGGCTTACTTCTAGCAAAGCTCTTTCAAGTCTACGGAAGAGTTCTTAAACCTAAGGCTTTTGTCTACTTATTAAAATCAAGAAGACCCGCTGAACCTTACAGCTGTATCTCAGCTGTGTGGGCTTTTTTTTTTTTACATGACCTTTTGATATACAGTTTTAAAATGACATTTGTGCTGGTATTCGCAGACTGGCAGATTGAGAATTTGCCAGATGACATTTCCTGTCCTGTTCAGACTCTTCTATTTCTTTTAATTATCCTATCCACGCCATTTAGGTCTTTGTACAGTTCTTTAAAAAAATAATAGTAGCATCAGCTTCAATGTGAACAGTAGCCCTCTGCCCCTTTTGGAGAATAATAACTAATTATGAGTCTTCAAGTATATTTTTATATTTTTAATTGTATTTTGATTGTTTTATCTTTTTTATTGTATTTTAATTGTTGCAAGCCGCCCAGAGACCTTTGAGTAATGTGGGAGGCATATAAAATAAGTAAGTAAGTAAGTACTTTCCAAAAAAGGATGACTCTTCTAAGGTTGTGAAGTGTACTCCAAAGTGGTTTCCCATTCTGTCTTGTGACTCTTCTAAGGTTGTGAAGTACAGTACTCCAAAGTGGTTTCCCATTCTGTCTTTCTGATGGTCCTTGGACCAGGGTGCAACTTACCTAAGGCTGCACTGGTGGCAGGACACTGTAACCCATCAGCCACACACATTTCGAGTGATCTTGCCTGGCCCATCTCCATGGGAGAACAGTGTGAATTTGAACCTCTGATACATAACTAGGCACTCTAATCAAGTCAGCTATGCTAGGCCTTTACTGAGGCATGTGGGCAACAAATTTGTCTTTCTTTAAAACCAATACACATATTAAGTTATCAATACTTATTGGCTTTATCTGATGGTCTGTGAAGAGGACTGATAGTGTAAGTATTACCTAAAAATAATAATTGTGTGTCGTCAATTCAGTTCTGACTTAATGGTGACTCTTTTTCAAGGGTTTCTATGTAGAGAGTGCTCAGAAGTGGTTTACCCTTCCCTTCCTGTAGGGGGCACCCTGGGACTGTGAAGCTTGCCCAAGGCCACCCAGGCTGGCTCTACTTGCAGGAGACACAGTGGGGAATCGAACTCCCAACTTTTGGCTTTGTAGCAAGAGACCTAAACCATAGAGCTATCCAGCCAGCTCAGACATGACCTAGTGAGGCTAAAAAGTTCACAGTCCTTCACTACATTTACTTCTATTGTTGAAATCTTATGTAATTAACTCATCATCGTCTCTTGAAACTATTCGTTTCAGAAATAAGCCCCTTTCAGTATTTCCTCTTGCAAGGCGTTTTGCTTACCTATTCATAGGTCTTTTCAATTTAAAGTTTTCCTCCTGCGCCTTCCTCCAGGAATTGAAGGCCCGAGACCTTGTCGGCTAGGCTTCCAACATAATAGACTGTAATAGATCTGCTCCTTGAGGGAAGGCTCTGTCATCTTTTATCATGTCAATAATCCTTGTAATAAGACGGCTGCAAGGAAGATCTGACATGATAGTCAGCAGGCTTAATCGAGGTGTGGGACAGCGGCATTGACACATCAGAGGTGCTTAATCTAGTGGAGCGTTTACGAGGTGCTCGCCTGAAACCGGAAGAGCCCTCCCTTTCTCCTTCGCCGGCGGCAAGCTGGAGGATTTTTGCAAGGTAGCCCGAAACACTCTCTTGCCAGCTCCCCTGAGAAAACAAACAGGCCAGCAGCCCTTTGCTAAGATAAGTCATGCTGACTCTTTTTTAAGGCACCGACAGATAAAGGATTCCCTCGCCCAACCCCGGTGTAGTCTTTTGGTCAAGAAACAGCTGCTAGCTGCTTCCGTTGTATGTTCAGTGGAGAGGATGACTCTCCCAGCTGTCCACCTCAAAGAGCAACTTGATTTTTTTGTCACAACAACGGCTACTGGCTTGATTCCAGGGGCTTGTCCCCGCCATCCCATAGCCATCTTCCCCTTTGTGCTCGGCCACGTTGCCGGCTGGATTTGTTTTGAGGTTTCTGGTCCACATGGTATGAGAAGTCCCTGGAAGCATACAAGGCCCATGAAGTGCCTTACTTTTCCCAGCCCAGGGGAATGGTTCTCCCTTGATTGATTTTTGCATCAGCAGTCCATCGGAAGAGATAAACCTCAGATGTGTTCATTATTTAGGGGAGGGATGGCAGCTCAAGGGCAGAACCCATCCTTTATAGCATTGGTCAGCGACCTTGGGCCTCCAGGTGTTCTTGGACTTCAAATCCAGAAATCCTGGTCAACAGAGGTGGTGGCGAAGGCTTCTGGGAGCTGTAGTCCAAGAACATGTGGAGGCCCAAGGTTGGGGACCACTGCTTTATAGGCCAAAGATCCAGAGTTCCCTCTGTGTCATTTTTAGGGTTGAGCTGGAGAGCGCTCCTCTCCAAAATGCTACAAAACTGTGGCCCATCAGGAGTTGCTGATTGCGGCCTGGATAAACGCCCAGCCTGATCTGGTGTAAGGCAGCTTCTGATGATGACCCCATCCGGTGTGCTCATGGCCTGGTTTTATCCATCATGCTAAGGGATGTTCTTCTTATTTTTAAATTAAATAAGAATGTTGGGTGTGTGTGTGAGAGAGAGGAGAAATCTGTGACTCCGACTGTTTTCTGTCTCCCTTACAGTTTACCATAAAGCCTCTGGACAAAAAGATTGATGTCTTCAAATTTAATTCCTCAAAGCTTCGTGTGAATAAGCTGGTATGTGCAAAAAAGGCGTCGTGGCCCTGACTTCGCTAGCCCCTGCGAGTGTTTTTCTAAAGGCAGTTGTTCGCTAAATCATGTTAGGCTCGGAAATTCCCATCATGCCATACAAAGTGTGATGTTTTGTCAGGTTTTAGAGATCCCCCCCCTCCACACGGAAACATCCTACAGTCCCACTTTCTCTCTCTCTCTCTGGCCACTAGAGGGTTAAAGGGGGTTTTCAGCTAAAAAATGCCAATTTGTTGGGAAAAGTTGGGATAAGGTTCATGGGAAAGAGGCACAGCACTTCGATTTGGGTTGGGGGTGGCCCCTCAATGCCTGGCGTTGGCCACCCCCCCCCCCCCCGTTTCGATTTCGGTTAGGGGTGGCCCCTCAATGCCCGGCGTTGGCCACCACCCCCCCCGGTAGAGGTGGAAGAGGACTGCCCAGAACAGGCTTCCCAATGCTAATGGGAACTCCCCGGGCCCTTGTTGTCTGCAACAGATCCTTCAGCTGTGCATTGGGAACCACGACCTGTTCATGAGGAGGAGGAAAGCCGACTCTCTGGAGGTCCAGCAGATGAAAGCCCAGGCCAGGGAGGAGAAGGCCAGGAAGCAGGTGAGAGCATTTAGACAAATAATCATCCATCACAATTCGCTCCTGTCAGTGGGTGGCTCAGGATCTCCCAGACGGAGAATCCGCTGCGTGCCTTCCAGCGAATCTCTGACCGTGTTGAACGCTGGCATTTTCTGCACCAGGAAATGACAGCTCAGAAATGTCCAAAACCACAGAAGAGAATCTTGCTTGAACGTTGGCTGCAACCTGCGTGGTGGTTGTAGTTAAGAAGGAGGGCATGCTTTCTCCAACATTAATTTGGGATTCTTGGCAGTTATATGCGAATGTTGATCCTGGCCTGATTTTTTTGAAGATTTTCCTTTCTTGGGCATGAGCTGTTCAGGAATACAACTCTGCAGCTTGGATAACCAGCTGTGCTCCTTTTTGGCTTTCAAGAAAACGACTGATTCTAGATACGTCTTGGAATTACCAAACCTTCCTTTACTTCTGTTCCTGCTTGATAGTAAGAACGATCTCTTCCTGTCACCCCCATTCATTCTTTCTTGCTGTACATATATTTTTCTCTCTGCATTGGCTTCTTTAGATTTGATCTATTTGCTACCTAATATAGCTTATCAGTAGCCAATTATAATATGCAGTAGGACTTGTTTCACAACAGCGCAGGTCAATGTATTTCCCCTGTTTTCTCCCTGCACTGACTAGCCAAGGGGATGGTTGAGCATATTAATAAATTGAGTGAGAAGTCTTTGTTAGGAGGTCTCCTACCCTCCACATGTCAGCGTCTAAGCAGGGAATGAGAACTAAACAGCATTACAGTCAAGGTTTTTCTCGACCTTTTTTGAGGGATGCAGTTATTTATTTATTTAAAGATATTTATATATTCGTTTAATATATAAGATGTATTTAATCACTAGACTATATGTACACTTCTAAGAGTGGTTTCTTAACATAAATATTTAAACACAACGTTGTGGTTTCTGCCTTGCTCAGTGGCTCAGCTAAAAGGTGTGCTGATTTCCCAGTCACAGAACCTAAAGGACAGGGTATTCTAAACAAGGGTGGGTAAAAAAAAATCTCATTGATTTAAATCATCATCACCATCATAAAAATATCCTTTGTTTTAAAAAATCAAATCCAACCTGACACAAGGCAGAGGAATGATCTTATGTGTTGTCCTCTCGGTTCAGGCTCGGCAGTTTTAAGGTAGTTGTTGTTTCGTCATTAAGTCGTCTTTGTGACCCCCTGGACCAGAGCATGCTGCTTCAGGCTAGGCAGTTTTAAGGTAGTTGTTTCGTCATTAAGTCATCTTTGTGACCCCCTGGACCAGAGCATGCCAGGCCCTCCTGTCTTCCATGGCCTCCTGTTTCTCCTCTTTTCTGATGGGTTTGGATTTGGTAGTATCTTTATTCCAGCCAAAGACAAGTCAGATAGTCCATGATGTTCAGCGGTACAATGTCTAAACACACCAGTTGTTTCAGCTTCTTAGTCAAGATGGCAGACTTAAGGCATCTGAATTTTGTGGATAGGTCTGTTGCTGTTTTGCTTACTTATTGCAGATGGGATCCTGCCCTTCTCCACTCAATGAGATAAATTACATTGCAGGACGTATGGATGATGTTTTGTTTAATATAGCCGGTCCTGCCAGTCACACTGAGAGTCAAAGTGACTTTCTTCCTGAGAAACAGACGGGTTATACAGCGTTCAGAATCACAAGGGGGTGATCCAGGACTGCTGACTGGTGGTCTGAGGACAGTTCTCATCAAGAATCTCTATAGCTTTGGTGGCTGATGGAAAGCTGTCCCAGAAGGCTTGCTGATTTCCAAGATATTCTGATTTTGCTAACAATGGATAGCTTTCTGTAACTCCCTCCCCATTTCCGTGTGTCTGCATCCTTCCTTTCCTTTTGGAAGACATAGAGCTGCACGAGGCTTTGAACTGGCTTTTGAACTTGAAATGCAGAATTATGTCCTGTACACAATGCAGTAGATTCCATTCTAAACTTAAGAGTTTGAGAGAGAAGACCATTCAGCTCAGCTGCAATATACGTAGACAATGAGGTAGAACTGAGCAGGATGACTCACCTCTCAGCTTTTGGCGATCCTTATGGTCTCCATAACAGTATCAAGATAGAATATTTTTATTTGCTACATCATTTATTTATTTCATTTCAATTTTTACACTGCCAGGCCACTACTATGGGTGTCTTACAATAATAGCATCAACAATATAAACTAAAATTCAGTACTTGGTAAGGGTAAAGGTTCCCCTTGGCATTCGAGTCCAGTCGTGTCCGACTCTAGGGCATGAAGCTCATCCCCGTCTCCAAGCCGTAGAGCCAGCGTTTGTCCACAGACAATTTCTGTGGTCTAGTGGCCAGCGCGACTAGACACGGAACGCCGTGACCTTCCCACCGAGGTGGTTCCTATTCATCTACTCGCATTTTACATGCTTTCGAATGGCTAAGTTGGAAGGAGCTGGGACAAAGCGACGGGAACTCACTCTGTCGCGTGGATTCGATCTTACGACTGCTTGGTCTTCTGACCCTGCAGCACTGAGGCTTCTGCGGTTTAGCCCACAGCGCCACCCATGTCCTGATTCAGTACTACACAACAAATAAACATGAAACAAGAAAGCAAACAAAACCTAAACTTAAATGAAATCTATATTAAGATGCAAGATGGTTCATTCTGAATATAGTGCTTTTTTAAAGCTTCAAGAATAATCTGTATAGAGGAGATCTGTCCAGCTGACAGAGAGTCTTCTGTTTTGCTGGTTCTTGGATGGCCCTGGTCCACTCCTTCCTCTTGAAGGAAGGATGAAATATGTGTGTTCACAGGTGCATGCATGGATACCTAGATGCCTAAAATTGTGTCCTGCTGCCCACCTTTTAGCCTGTTACTGAGCTGTGGCATTAGTAAGTTGGCTGTGTTTTGCACTCCAGATGGGGCCCGGGAGGGGGAATCGGTGCACTCCTGTGTCCTAATTAGATGGTGATGGAATGCACACCGACACTGCGGGGCACGCTGCCTGCATGCTAATTTTCGGCCTGGCCTCTTTTACCCGCTTGCAGGTCAGCTCAGCAGGCAGGCACGGCACCTCGGAAGCGGCAGCGGGGAGCCCAGTGAGCGCCGATCAGCAAATTGGATTGCAGGAGTCGTTGTTTTCAGCTTGTAGACCTTTCCCGCTTGCTGAAACCCACACAGCTAATCTGTATGGTTCTGCTCAGCATATAGATGGCCACTTCTGGTTAAGCTGTTAAATAGCCACCGTTGCCGGAACAGCCGCGGAGGGCTTTACGATGCTCAGAGAGGCTAAGGTTACAGGAGTGATCGGCTAGGGTCCTGTTCTTGGATTTGCACGTCTGCCAATGGCTCTGGGCTGAGAGCTTTGTGTTGCAGACAGCCGGGGTAGGGATAAGACTCTCTGGCTTTGCCGACTTGTATCAGCTGGAATTGTAGGAACGGACAGGGTCTCGAGCCCTGAGGGGGAGAGGGGTGCTCTTGGCCCGTGCCACCTGGCAAGTAGGGGCCTTAACATGACAAGCCAGATGGATTATTTCAGTTCCAAGAAGGGCAACTTAAGATGGGCCTAGTGAAGCATCAGTCGTTGCAGAGAACTGGGCCAGTGCTTTTAGGAAGGAGGAAGCTGGCATGAGTTAAAGGGAAGCAAGCCCACGAGGGATGTGGGCGGTGTTGCGGGTTAAACCGCAGAAACCTCTGTGCTGCAAGGTCAGAAGACCAGCAGTCGTAAGATCAAACCCACGCGATGGAGTGAGCTTCTGTCGCTTGTCCCAGCTCCTGCCAACCTAGCAGTTTGAAAGCTTGTAAATGTGAGTAGATAAATAGGTACCACCACGCTGGGAAGGTCACGGCGTTCTGTGTCTAGTCGCGTTGGCCACGTGACCACGGAAACTGTCTTCGCACAAATGCTGGCTCTACGGCTTGGAGACGGGGATGAGCTCCACACTCTAGAGTTGGACACGACTGGACTCAATGTCAAGGGGATACTTTACCTTTACCTACCCCAAAACTCCAGGAACAAATGAATGGACAAGAGGACGACCGTGATGTTTGCAGCCTCCCCCGCTTTGTCAGTAGGGCTTTGACTGGATTCTCCACTGAGTCTCATCCTTAGGAACACACCTTCTCATAGTTTGTTTTTTCTTGGTGCTGGGTTAAAGGTATAGATATGCAAAAAAAAGCAAAGCAAAGCGTGCTGCTTATATACCGCCCCATAGTGCTTCAACCACTCTCTGGGCGGTTTACAAATTAATTATGCAGGCTACACATTGCCCCCCCCCCAGCAAGCTGGTTACTCATTTTACCGACCTCGGAAGGATTTCTCCAGCTCTGCAGAGTTGGACTCACCCAGCCCTGTCACTCTGTCAGCAAACTGACACTGCACTCTTAATCACCTCTGCTCCTTTACAAACCCAATAAATTTTCTTGCAAGTTTGGACTATGGGAGCAGAATGGATTGTGCCAAGCAAATATGTGAGTTCTTTCACTTGAGTAGCCCCAATAAATCGGATTTCTTCTTAGCGCAGAACATGTGCAATCTGCACACGAGTTCCTCTTAATGGTAATGGGTTGTGGGTTTCCCCTCCTCTCTGTCCTGTCCCCCCCACCCCCACCCCAGATGGAACGTCAACGTTTAGCACGCGAGAAGCAGATGAGAGAAGAGGCTGAGCGGACCAGGGACGAATTGGAGAGGAGGCTTCTGCAGTTAAAAGAAGAGGCGACAATGGCCAACGAAGCCTTGGTATCTGTTTGTTTTTGTTTGTTTGTTTGTTTGTTGTGCTTCTGTCCCTCCCATCTAGCAGCCAGCTACTCCGGCAGCTTACGCCAAACATAGAACAAAACGTTCAACCCAAAATAACATTTAAGAGTAAAAGAACAGCATCATCATCATCAAACAATGTAACATAGCAGCACCCCCACCAATGGCGAGAGGAAATCAATTTATAATGGGTCGTAACATCTCTCAGGAGGGGAGGATGGACCTGACTGCCTGTTTAAAAAGCACCGCTTTCACCTGCTTCCTGAAGGAGAGGAGGGAGGGGAGATTGGTGCACAGGCAGTGAATTCCAGAGTGTCCCAGAGACCATCAAGAAAGCCCAGCCCAGTTCCTGGTGGACATTTTTCAGGCCTCCTATAGGATGGCCACTTGCAACAATACCGCCAGAGATGATTGGATGGCTCAAGTAGTAGATCTTAAGAAGAGCCACTCCGAGAAGTACTGAGGTCCCTAGGCATTTGAGACTCTATAAGTTAGACTTGGCACTTTGAATTTGGTGTGGAAGCAGACAGGAAGCAAAAGCAGGCCTACCAGCATTGGGAGAAATATCATCATCTTTGGAAACTCCCGCAAGAAATCTGGTAGGCCTCAAGCCGTTCTGGTCTGCCACGGTGATGTTGCCTCGTACTCTTTTTGAAGGTGCACTGAAAAGAGTGGATGCCTCACACTTGTGGGCCAATCTGAATGGAACACTTCTGCGTGATGGGATCGTGCATACCTCTTGACATGGGTATCTGTGCTGTGAGTGCAATGGCCCATAGAGGGTTAAGAGGATGGGTACTTTGGATTTGCCCATAGTATAATGAATTGTAGCACCGTTTTCTTGATGAATAGACAAGTTGAGTCCCAACAGTTCTGGGATGGGACATTTTTAATGCTCAACGTGTTTGCTCTTGGCTGACTAGCAGGGGCATTCAACTCAATGTTTACAAGTTCAATCATTAGAGTCCTTGTGGGGCTGCTCTGATACGCCCTCTGATAAAAGATAAGCTTGGAAGTGTCTGTTCTTTACCTAGTCTTTTCCTTGAAGTATTCTGTAAGAGGAGTTGAGCTGAAGGTGTGAATGATCCTTTACCTGCTGACCTCTGCCTGTTAGGTCAGCTTCCCAGGCACTCGCAGAAGCTTCGAAGTGTCCAGCAAATATTCCCCAAAGGTTCTTTGTTTCTCTGCAGGTGTTGTTCTAGGTCTCTCCTGTTTCTTGCCTTTTCTCCTTTCCTCCCTTTCAGAGGCATGGCCAGCTCTAGACCTGTTCCCGTTTCATTTCGCCAGAATTGGCATTTTGTAGAGGGACGGAAGCATTCTGTCACCATTCCTCAGAGCAAGGACCTGCCTCTTCCCATTTCCTGCAGGAGTGGGAGGCTTGTGAGGAGAAGCACGTGGCACTTTGGGTCTCTCCTGCCCCCCCCCCGAAAGTCAAGAAAAACCCACAAACATTTTGGCAGCTTTATAGACCCTCCCCAAAAGAATCATGCCTCTAGGGTTTTTCTTCTGAACCAAGCTATGGGATCACCTGGCATCTTGTTTTAGGAAAAACCCGAAGTGCAATTAAAAGGAAACTAGGAAGTGGTCTTTTGGCTGTTGTGTCCAGATCCCTAAAAACGTGCCCACCCATGCCTTCGGAGGTGCAGAGTTGGGAGTGTCGCGTGGAAGAGACGGCAGCAACAAGAGAAAAGGGCGGAAGCAGTCGGTGGAAGAACGACACAGGAGAGAACCTGCTTCTTCTTCTTCTTCTTCCCCTGAGCAGCTGCTCCCTGTCTCCCGTTTGGAAGAGGAGCAGAAGGTCTGCTATCCAGGAGCTTGAAGGACAGCGTGGGAGCAGACACGGGACATGCTTCAGGGACATGTTTTATTCATGGGCAGCAGCTTCCCGTCAGGCTCAAGCCTCGTTGTCCCATCTGCCTCTTTCCTCTGATTATTTTTTAACCAACTTTTGATAGATGTGGTTTGACAATGTTTGTGTTCTCCCTTATATTTTGGCAGTGGATGAATTGAGAAAAGGAACGTGACTCTTGGTCTTAGGAAGCACCTGAAATTTAGGCCCGACGAGAGGAGGACGTTATATTCTCTCATCGCGGCAGTAAGAGTTCTCCTCCTTCTCGAAGGGCTTGTTGCCCAGTATTTGAGCGAAGGAACTTGGCATCCTGGTGGTCGAGAGAGGGACTCAGACTTTTCCTAAGGAGGCGCTTGTGCTCCATTACTTAACATTTTCTTGGCTGTCCTGTATTTCATTCGTGGAAGTTGAAGGTCAATGCAGCCGTTAGTCGTAATGGTCAGCATTTATCCTATCCTCAGAGGCCACATGCTTCTGAATCCCATTTGTGGGAGAGCAGTTTGGAAGGTGTGATTGCGTTCATTTCCTGCCTGTAGGTTTTCAAGAAACATCTACGAGCTTTTTTCAGGTCTCGCCCTGGGAAAAAGAGAGGCAGATGGAAGACCTTTCTTTCCTGAGACAGCATTTCTCTTGTGATGTGTTGTGGGCAATTAGTTCTTCTAAGATAGAGACTATATTTGAAATTCCTTATCTTCCCCATGATCCTTGCCCAGGTTTAAGGTGTTTGAAGGATGTCTTTCTTTGGATCCCACCACCCACACGGGGCGTTGTGGGCATGACCTGTTGGGAAACCTTTTTTCGGGGGATGGTTGGCGCTGCTAAAATCACTCCTTAAAGACCTCACTTCCTTTGAAAGCCTTAATAGGCAGGCCGTAAGTCGGTTCTGATTTGACGGCACAGAAGAGCCACCAACGCAGGGGTGCCCTGGTGAATTTGCGCAATGCAACACTGGTTGTTGTTGTTTAGTTGTTTAGTCGTGTCCAACTCTTTGTGACCTCATGGACCAGAGCACGCCAGGCCCTCCTGTCTTCCACTGCCTCCCGGAATTGGGTCAAATTCATGTTGGCAGCTTCAATGACCCTGTCCAGCCATCTCGTCCCCTGTCGTCCCCTTCTCCTCTTGCCCTCAAACTTTCCCAACATCAGGGTGTTTTCCAGGGAGTCTTCTCTTCTCATGAGATGGCCAAAGGATTGGAGCCTCAGCTTCAGGATCTGTCCTTCCAGTGAGCACTCAGGGTTGATTTCCTTCAGAACGGATAGGTTTGATCTCCTAACAGTCCAGGGGACTCTCAAGAGCCAGCACCACAATTCAAAAGCATCAATTCTTTGGTGGTCAGCCTTCTTTATGGTCCATCTCTCACTTCCGTACATCACTGGTGCCTGTTCTCAAATGGAGTCGGCACATAGAGAGGCCCATAGGAGTGGCAGAGGCTTTTTTC